CCTGAGGAAGCCACACACAGTGAATTTGTTAAAAATACAGTTGGGTTTTTTTTTTTTTTACTGTGGTATCAGCTATGTGTTTCATTCACAAGTCAGGCCTCTCGGATAGCTGATGTGCAGACACAGAAACACAACAGTCATCAAGCATGGCTCTGCCATCACCACCTTTGCAAGCCCTCAGTCGCCTCCCAACCCTCCACAGACAGTGCCTTCCGCTACCCACCAGCCAAGGGTCACTACCTCTGCCTGCCTGCCCCTGCACAGCTGCAAAAAAACAACTGCTTCCAAATATCCTTCCAATAGCTGATCAACAGGGGGGCAATCACCACTCTGGGAAAGTGCCTTCAAACATCTGCACTGATTGCACCACTCTCGGAGGAAGATGAGTAATTCTGCTTTGCCCCCCAATCAGCCAGCAACAAAATCACCCAAGAACTGATTAGGCAGGTAAACTTCTGATCTACGTAAGCTAACTACCTATGTCAATTAGTTTTAATTATATCCAGAATAAGACCTGCCAACATGAGTTTTTTTCTGCAGCCTTTGTTTTCTGTAAGAAATCTTCGTTTCTCTTGGCAAGAGCTCAGCTGAATCACAACACAAGTAATGAACAATCAGCAAAACCAAATACTGTTTTGTAAATGAATTGAGGTATGTTCAAAGTTGACTAAGGGAAGAATAATCAAACAAACATCAATATTTAAGAAAGCAGAAGGGCTTGAACATTCTAGAGTTGTTTTATAAAAAAAATATCCAGTATTTCCTCTGGCAGCAATTCCTTTCTAAAATCAGAAAACCATACCCCAACCCATCCTCCCTCCAGCCCTCGGTTTCAAAGTTCTTCCTCAGAAGGCAGCAAGGATGAAGAGAGATTTCACTGAGTTTTCCTCCATTATTTTGTCCACCTCTAACATCTGTAATCTTGACCATACCTTGTAGCTGGCTAAAACTGGCTGTACTTCTTTTGATGTCTCTTCAAGTAGCAGCATCACCAATTCTTGAAAAGGAGAACCTTGCAACCTCCTGAACTCATTACTCATCTTTTCAGCTTGGCTCTCATTCAGTGCAGTTTTTCTTTTTTTTTTTCTTTTCCCCCCTCAAATATTTAATTAATTTGTGATTCAGCTCTAAGAGCAGCTGAAAAAATATCAGGCTCTGCAAATCAATTACATCCGCAGTTACCACTCTGCAGTCCCCCAGTCACTAGCAGGACTTCACCACTGCAAGTGTATTTGGGTCTCATGTCAACATCCCCTCCCTTCCAGTAGCATGAGCTCCAAAGCCTTTAAAGGCATAAAAATAAGCACTTCTTGCTTCTCACTGAGAACATACTGGGCTGAAGGTGAGGATGAATACAAAGAGAAGTGCCAGAAGGTGCCCTTTTCACAGTGACTTTATTCATTTCCTATTCAAACCCCAATGGTGAGCCCTGCTGTATATAGTAAGCAACTAAAATCTAAGTTACAATAAAACTCACCTACACCCAGTGCAGGAAGAAGGAAAGCATAGACGAGGGCAGATAAGAAATTGTTTGGCCAAACCCTTAAATGGGTAAAGACAGAGACTTTAGTGGTGCTACATCAAGTTTTACAGCATTTTAGGATCTGGCCCTCAACTTTGGTTAGTAGTGCCTGCTAAGGAGACCACCATTAGGAGACTTAAAATTGGCCAAACAGACTTGAAACTGGGCATTTTCCAGCTTGTGAAAATGCTTGGGAACATTTCCATAAGGACCCATTCAGACAGCACAGGCTGAGCAGAGGCAAAGCCAATAACCATCGGTCCTTCAGTGGCACCCAAGCACCACTCTGGAAACCACGGTAGAAATTCACAGAGCAACTGCTTTCATTTCTCTCATTAACTAGCACAGGAATTTATTCTTGTGAATAATGAACCTTAACACTGGTCCTTTATAAACATGTCCCAAAACAGTCACAATTTACCTCTAGCTGTCCCATAGAAGTTGCTGATAAATGGGTCATGTTGCCAAAGAAGGTGTAAAAATCCAAGTAGTTTGGGTTCTTTACAGTAACTACTACCTAGCTGCCTATATTAATTGAGAGAGCAAGCACATTACATAAGGAGATCAGACCATGTCACATTTACAACCTCAGTGTCTCCAGCAAAAGAAATTGCTCAGCCTTCTTCAAACAGGAACCCTGCTGACAAGATGATGAATTCAGAACATCATTGCCAATTAATGATTTGTACGCAGAAGGGATTTCAATAGTTCCCATATGTTTGTGAGGGTGACTGGTATTTACATCACCTCTAATAAGAGAGCGTAGCCTGCTCTGTCCAGACATGAGACTAGAGCTCAGAAAATGTCATCTTTGCAGGAGAAATTTTAATAAACAAAGCCAGGTTGTTCTGGGTTGATAATGTTTCCCAAAGCATGGTCACTAATAACCTGCTTAAGCCTACGTGAAAGCAAGCAGGGAGACCACTTGCAAGATGCACCTAAGTGATTTACAAACCAAAGGTCAGAAGTCATTTAGGTGTTTGTCAAAACTATACCACAGAGTGCCAAGACGACTGTTGTGTGAGCCAGGAGCATGGAGTGCATTTCCTAAACACCAGTCAGGCTGGGGCAGGGGGGAAGAAAGCATCTACAAGCACACAGAACCTTTCTTGGTGTTACTTATTCCACTTATGGGCTGCAAAGTTTAACTTTGCTGTCCTAGAAAAAAAATCTCATCCTTGTGAATATAACAATATCCAAACCAGAAAGCATTTCACTCACACAGGTTATCAGCATGAACTCCGTGCACACTGCATGCAGACCTCCTGAATGGCCTAAGGCTGAATGTGTCTTATCAACTGAGCATTTCGAAGCCAACCAGCAGGAAATGCTTGGCACAATGACCTGAGTTAAACACAGGACGTCCAAATGAGGGCCTCAAACAGACTTTGCCGTAGGCACTCAGAGCCCAATGTCCCATTGATTTGGTGATGGAATTTAGGGCTTTCCTACAAACAAGAATTATGGGCTTTAACAGCTCTAGAGCAATTAAAGTGATAAACTCCTGCTGAGGGTGCAGGCTGTAGGTGAAATATAAAAGTAGTTTATGTGGGTATGCCTTATGACAGAAGCGCAAGGGTACGTCACCACAAAGCATCTTAGACTTCCAAACTGTGATCACAGTTCTACCCAACACAGTCATAAAATGTGAGGACAGTGTCTGGCCCCTCAATTGACTAAGAAAAATAAATTTAAAAAACAACCCACACCCCAAAATGGAAAGCAGAACCTCATATCACTAAGGTCTTCTGAAAGCACACCCCAAATTGGTCTCAGCACTACCAGAGATCCAACCACTCTACAGGCACAGTAAGCTCTTCAAAGATACTCCCATGAAACCTGAGAGTATCTAGTTTAAACCAGTCCAGGTTTTTTTGTTTGGATTTTTTTTTGTGTGTTTTGTTTTTTGCTTGGTTTTGAGATCTTTAAGAGTGCTTTGAGATATCCCATGCTGCATGAGCAGCATGGGAGGGCAGGATTTGAAAGTTGATTAATGGATGTACCCCTTTCCTCCAAAAATTCTTACAGGTGACTGAAGTCAGTGTCTAGACATAGCACCCAACCAGTGCATATTATTTTGGGACATGGTATTTTTAGCCATAATGAAGCAGATCCTCAATGATCTATCCAACCCACACCCCTCATCTGTGACAGTCTAGATTTCCTCAGCTTGGGCTAATGTTGATCCTTAGCTCCCCTTGTGCAGTATCAAACATCAAGTCCAACTCTTCTTCCCCCCTAAACAGAAGAAGTATCTTTACTGGCACAGGAAAAGCAAAACCAAGTCAGATTTTGCTGTATTGACTACATCTGCAGAAAAAGGAGACTATCCTGGTCAAAAAGCACACTCCACACACTGTTTACTAGAGGTTTCTCCAAAAACAAACATACCTACATTTTCTCTCCAAGTCAACCCTTGAAGAGACTTGAACTATGTAATCTTCAGGGGCACAGTGTGTGACCAAGGACTAAAGGATCAAGGCCACAGTTTGCTTTGGATATGTACTGATCTAGCCTTTGCACCAACACTACAAACACCAATAACAAGCATCTGGAGTGAGGTAAAGAGAAAACACAACACCAACTTCAGCTGGAGCAGAATCCCTCTGCCTTTCCCACAGGTTATCTATTACTAAGCAGCTGCAAGTACAAGGCAATTAAGATGGGACCAATGACCAACATAACAATTTTGCAAAAAGCAAACCACATGGAAATCTTTTTTCTTTCCCCTTCTCTTTTATGTCCGAATAGGTTTTAAACTACCTGCTACACATTTACAACAGAAGGGCAATTCTATAAACAAGCATGTAATACAGCAAACCATAAAATGAGATTATACACTCTTAGAGTATGCTGCACTTCAAAAGTATTCTTTTTCAGGTCTTGAGCTTCAGATATCCTAGATCTCTTGCACAAGGCCCCTGATGATTCAGGAGACCTATGCTGATCAGCAACTCAGGAACCTCAGCCAGGTACTTGTGTGAAAACTTCAGCACATATGGAATCATTTTTATCAGTGGGGCTTTAGGTTTAACTCTGAACAGCTGAGCAGCTTTGTATTAAACTATTTACCAGAGAGGAAAATCAATCAATTCACACCACATCGAATTCCCCCACCCCCCCAACAATAGAGTGAAAAAGAGAGAACATACTCCTTTTAAATACAGAACCAAAATACATCTTGCATAGGGAGATTAATTTCAAACATTCTGGTACAGTCCAGAAAAAAGAAACCAAGCTTCTAAAATTCATAAGGAAACCCCAATACTGAGGAAAAATAACATAAGCTTTAAATAACAGATAAGATAGCAATTGCCTCATGGACCCAATGGTACAGTGCTCCAAAGGTAATAGTGGCATGCCAGATTCTCCTTGTCCACAGCCCTCTACGCACTGGAAAGACCTGTACACAGGTGTGAAGTCCCACTACATCCAGCCAAGGCCCCTCTCTTCATGCTGTCACAGTCCTTCAAAGGACCTCAGTGGAAGTGAGAACCTGACCCACCATTGTCAACGCAACCAGGCATTAAAGACATGGAAGAAAAGAAAGCGAAGACCTCAGCAGCGTCAGCACAGCACCCTCCCAGCAGACCCTTACCTTGGCAGGTGTTGTTCTTCTCCTCATACCCTGCCTTGCACAAGCACTTCCCGATAGGCACCAGCCATTCCCCCTCAGCACTGCAGTGCATCTTCGGCGCCTCCTCGGTCACTGAGTGGTTGACACAGACGCCTGCCACCTCTAGCAGCTGCGAGGAATCCGCTCCTGTGATGGTGTCAGGAAAGCGGGCCAGGTTGCGGATCACCGATGGGCATTTCTTGTAGTACACACGCACAGAGACCAGGGCGATGCAGGCACCCACATCCTGGAAAGCAAGGTAAAATCCCTTTTTCGTTAGGGGCCCGACATCTCTCACCTCTGTGTTTAGCTTCATAACTCTGTCACCAAGGTCTAACTCTGTGAAGCTCTCATCAGCAGCAATGGTATCGATCTTGATGTACTGGTTTTCTTTGATATTCCTCCCATCTTCATCATCTGATTCAAAGTAATACATGTTAAAAGTCTCTTTGCAAGTCCCAAGTCCTCCTGGAAGGCTGTTACAGTCCCTCAGGGTGAATTTGAGCTCAATGAAGATGCGGGATGCCCCTTCATTAGAGATCCAGCTGGTCAGAAGCCAGTTGTTCTGATTCTGTTCCATTACCTTGCATACTTGGTATGTGTGTATCGGAGCATAGTTTTCATCCACCTCACCAATTTCTTCCCACTGTATAAAAAGAAAAAGTATTACTTTTTCAAAAAGTTACAGCTCCTACAAAATCTTAACTTTCCCATCTAAGAGCACCTTGGGCTTCAAAGGTTCAGGAGGACTTTCGGGGGGTGGGGGATATTTTAAATGGCAAAGTTTTCCATACTGGAGGCTTGATACATTCCTGATAAAGTCAGATAAAAGACCCTTCAGAAATATAAAAGGATGCTAGTTAAAACCTTTTGTTTCAGACATTTCAGAAGTGGGAAAACATACTGCTGGGTTTGTCCACTAGTACTTTGTTAGGGAACAAAACAGAAGCAGATGGGGCCATGAGTTGGTCTTTTCCAATGCATCCAACTTGTGGGGGGGTGGGGAATATCTATTTACAGTTTGTCTGTCCCCACCTCCCCAGGCTCCTTTCTACCACATTCTCAAATCACTGCCCAATGCAATGAGGATGACCACATTTCTCCACGCTATTCTCCCCCACCAAACAGCCTGCCAGAAAATCAGAGTGATACATGAAATAAATAGGCCTTTGCTCTCCCCAGGCGTGCTAGTCAGAGGACCTCCTTTGCTCATGCAAAGAGAAGATTACTTCCAATAAAGGTTACAGGGATCTGCAAATCTTGAGCTGTTTGTGTGCTACACAGGCTTTTAAGCAGAGCTCCAGATAAATTCTCACAGCTGTTTGTGCGAATTGTAACAACTGTTTTTTCATTTTATTTTGGCCATGCTCTGAAATGCATCATGTGGAAGCAATGTTTTTTCCTGATCCAGCACAATACAGTTAGTAGCACCACAACAGTGCCTACAGTAGAGACACTACATTAATGTCTCCTCTCTGCTTTTGAGAACTGTAGTGTCACATTAAGAGATTAGATTAACCCACATGAGTACAGCAAAGAACTTGGGAGAACCAGTGATGGTTTCAGTTTCATTCCCTTCTACTTCTGACCCTTCATCTGCAAGGGCTTAATTCCCAAAGCCTCTTCCATCCTCTGCTCAGCATTGCTGCCCACATCTACTCACAGCTGCAGACACAGCACAATTTAAAGGTGCTCTGGTACAAGGTAATAGCTATATTCCAAGCTGCATATCTTCTAAGGCCAAAGGCCAATTTTTTTCATTGGAAATACAGCCCCAGATCAAGTTGAGAACCTTCTCAACCCAGGTGCCATTATTGCAGAGCTGACAAGGAACATGCTCAGAGTCAACATAATGATGAAGTGTTTAAGGGAAATGCTGTTCTTAAATTCTACACTAAAATAGCACCAACAAGTGGCATGAAAACACAACCTGATGCTACAGTCCAAAAAGAGTTATAAATACCACCATCAGAAAAGCATTTCCTCTCTTCCCTGACCTGGGATGCGAAAGTGGGAACTTCTGCAATTTCAGCAAGACATGCCCACTGCGATGCACAGAGTTCACATGTACCAGTCTTCCGAGTGAGGAACCTAACCTGAGGACATTTTTGTCATGCTAAGCAGTATTTTCATTTCTAAATCCTTTCTGTCCCTGGGCTTACAGAGGCCATGACCCTACTGTGATTAACATGTACTTGTCACTTCACCCTTCCTGGCAGTGCCACAGAGTTAGCTGGAGATAAGCCTGCAGTGAAAACTAGGCAGCTCTGTGCAGGATTCATGCCTAACTTTGAGGAGAGGCAATTAATTACAAAGAGTAGACCCACTGAGAAAACACACAGGAAAAGTATGCAAGATACCACAAATCTGCAGCTAGCTTTTCTACATTCCAGTGAATAGGGTGGGTTTAGATACATGAAATTAAAAAGCAGAAAAGCAGCATTCTTCATCTACTGTGGTTGAGTGCTAAATATGCTGTACATATATGCTTCCAAGTGGATTTAACATGACACTATGTAAATGCAAAGTCTTATTTTTATCAATGGCAAGTCTCCATTTGATGAAAAGGGAGGGTATCATAGAATCTTAGAATGCTTTGGGTTGGAAGGGACCTT